GAGGAAAACATCATTCTCAATGCCACAGAGTACTACTAAGTCCTAACTCTGAGCTTCTCATTGTTAGACACCATTGCCTTCTTCCCCTCCTCCTCATTTTAACAGAAGCAACAGCATTTAATTTAATCCACCCAGAAGCAATGAGAGAGTCAGCAGCTGATATACAGCTAGTGCTGGTTAGAACTCTGAATTACTGTTTTGTGAAGAATGTCAACATTTTGACATTTGTTGCTATTCTCAGGGTAGAAAGGAACTACATATTCATCTGGAAATTTTGAAATGTCACACTGAACTCGCAAATTTAACTCTGAATTTCAGAATTTCACCTTCTACTTCATTTTACATTAGCTTTCAGTCTTTTTTAAGTTATTAAATGCCAAAGTAGAGTATTTTAAAAAAGCCTTTTTAATTCTACTTTGTTCTGCTTTATTTTAGCATAATAAAGCTATGGGAAGCCACTGTCCCACACTGACAGAAAACCAACTTCAACCATCATTTTACTCTGTCTCCAAATTCCATGCAGTGGAAATTTCTGACACTTGACTTTTGTGAAGAAGACACTTGGGTGGAGACACAAAATTTTTGGTGAGAAGCAGTATACAAGCTGCCTACCTTTCTCCACCAAGTCAAAAGCAACACTAAGAATATATCCCTGTGACAGTAGGAGGGAATCTGGCAGACTGCATTTATTCATCTGCAGAGAACAAAAAATTTCTAGTCACTAGATTAACAGCAAACAGCAAAGTGAATTAGTCTCAGTTCAAACACAGGTGCCGGAGGTATCCACTTTATGTGAGTGATGGCAGACTGTAAAAATATTAAACCAGTACCAGACAAGTGCATCAGTCATAGCAAAGGACACCAGCGAGCATATGTTTCTGAGGCAAAGATGAAACTTCCAAGTGAATGTCTCCATCACAGGTATTAAATCAGTGGAAAAACTGGCAAAAGCTGTGTAAAATGAGAAAACAGTGAGCCATCATAGTCCTTTTTGGGCACTGCAAGCTTCATGAGACTGTGAAGGTGCTGGGTGCAGCAGGCAGAAAAGAAACCACCTCCAGCAGCGCAGAAACGATGCGGTGGCTGAGGTCTGCTAATCACGAGTGGTCACCACCACCAAAACCGTGCCAAAAGCATAAGCTGCCTTATGATTTCCAACTGTCTCTCTACTTTTCATGGTGCTAACCTCAAAAGGTGCATAACACTGAAGGGTCATGTGAAGAGGAGGCCACTGATGGCTCTTTATGTGTGAAGGGGGACAGTGGGACCGGTGGTTGGTTTGGGCTGACCAGGTTAAGGAACTCGTGCACTTGTGCCATGTCAGGGAGAACAGACACAGTTACTGCAGGAACACTGCTCCCTTTCTCCTTCTAGAAAATCTGCAGCAAAGGAGCATGGATTTGGACGCTGCACTAAATCAGAGCTACAAGACACTTCTGTCCTCACCGAATTGGTAAATTGTTCTCAAGAGGTCAGTGTGTTTGTTAAGACTTCCCCCATTCTGGACCAAAACCACAAGCTCTCTCAAATTACTTCAGTGGTACCCAGTTTGGATGTTGAAAATGTGTAGGTTCCTTTATGAAGGAATGTGGTTCCCCAAGCCTATGAGTAGAAGAAGGAGAATAGCTGGGATCTGAGACCTAGGAAGAACAGATCTCCCAGTGGCCAGATCTCCCAGGAGATACATGAGGTTCCTGAAAGGTTCACAAATCTACCTGGGAGACATGTCATAGTGTCTCAAAAACACTACCAAAAGCAGTAAAAGGACCTAGACCTATTTCAAGATATGAGAGCTCAACAAAGGTATTTGGTGTCTCACCAGTCCAGCACAGAAACATTTGATGATAGCTAAGCTGGTCAGTGGTGGGAGTTTTATCAACCCTGCTTTGGCCACAGGGCAAAGTTTCAGTAATTCTCCATGACAGCAATGTGCTTTGTCATTTGTCCACTGTGGACATCATGGTGCCAGAAATCAGCACACCTAATGAGCCACTCTGATCTTGTGCACTTCGGCCTTTGGGAGGGAGAAGTTAAAAGAGCGGCTACAGATTTTGACTTGGTCTGAGTAGGCACAGCACTGCTGGCAAAAAGTACAGGAGTAGCTGATCGTGTCACATCTTTCTGTGATGGTCTCATGAGAGCTCTGCTGCTGCTTCTACAGAAATCACCACCACCTACCATCCAGAGGAGAAAGCTCCTGAGGTTTTTCAGCCCTTGAAGCACATGGAGGTTTAAATGAGGACATGCACTCCACCAGATCATTTCCTAACTAGGACTTGGGCACTAATGCTAGACGGGGTGCTGCGAAAGACTAAAATGCCCAGAGGTTTCACATGCATGATTCTCACTCCATAACTGGCCCAAGGACAGAATGCAATGCAGAGTTGTGAGTGAGTAAAACTCATTGTTCTCAGCAGGCTTTAAGAACCAGTACAGATTACTTGCTGTTCCCATACCAATCCAGATTTATTTTGGATCAGCAGCAACTTCAACATGATTAGTACACAGCAAAAAGCACTGAGTCACAATGCCATGGACCTCCTTCTAGCCAGAATGCCAAATATATACTTTTTTTTTTGACCCTTTAAAAGCCGTTAACAAATTAAATGAAAAATTTTACCTCTCAAAGTGATGGATCATATTAGAATTAAGAACTATGAACTTTTAATCTGAGATAGATTTGCTACAATATCCTTAACATGTTGCACACAAAGTGCATTCATGATTAAGAATGCACTATTTTGAATACATTTAGAAATTGGTTTGTATTTTAAAATCATTCCCTTGCAAGAAATAAAATTCCTAAAGGTCGTCTTGCATTTTATGTGATATGCACTTCTTATCCTGGATTCTCAAATCTATTTCCTTAACTGAAAGACCTCAAACCAACCTTGAAAAGGCAAAACACAACAAAATGCAGAAGCCAGTTGCGTTCAGGAAAATAAGTTAATATTCATATTGTAGCCAAGTCAAATTACAGTGACAGTTCTATCAGATATCTGGCTCTCATATAGCCTTTCTTTTTTTTTTCCTTTTAAATAAAATAATTCCAAACGTTGATTTTATGAATTAGTTAGTCTGCAGAGGAAGAGAACAGCATGCAGTAAGACTGGACAACATTGCTTCAATGGCAAAGCATACAGTGTTTTATTACTGAGCATTTCCTGTAAAGACTCTTAGACCACCTTCAATTCTTCATCAACTAAACTATATATGTTACAAAGCAACTATTGAGCAGAATATGTTACAGAAGATTTGTAAGCTAAAAAGTGAAATAGGTAACAACACAGTTATTTAGTAGGTTGGATGAGAAAGAAAGTTTCTGGAGGGATTTATCACCAAGCAAATAATAGTCTGTTCTGCAGAAGAACTGAAATTATTTTTATAGAGATATTTATGAAGTATTTCTGCATGTGTATTTGCAAATGCCACGTGCACACACACACAAACATATATATAAAAATATATACATGCAAACATGAAACCCCAAACTTGAGCTAAATTAAACTGTCCCTCCAGCTTTGTAATGCAAATGAGACTAACAGGCTTGTGCTGTTTGTGGTTCAAGATGATTTGCGTTTCCATAGAGATGCTGACTGAACTACAGTTTTTAAATTTTTTATATATATAAGCTTACTTGTATCTATAAAAGTCTAAATATGGATCTGCTGTACCTCAGCATTTCCTCAGTGACTCCACTGGAACCACAACAATTTACACCAGTTAAGGCTATGTGCAAATTTTGTGTCTTTTTGTGACTTTTCAGTTTAAGCTCTATGCTAAGTACTTGCAGAGCTGAGAGTTTGCTGTTTCTCTCCCTAGTCCTAAGCTTCTTGGTAAGGAAGGGAAAGAAAAGAGAAAAAGCAGTTTCTTAGCTGCTAGTAGATAATATTTTAAGGACTTGTGTAACTTCTTGCCCTCTCTAAACTGCCTAGAGGAACATCTTTGCCTTCAAAAGTTCCCACTGCCAGGAAACCTGGAATTCAAGGAAGATCGTCTGTGTGCTGTTAAGAGAAGGAAATAACAAAAGGACAGGGTTTCTGTTATGTATCAGAAGCTTTTTCCCCTTTCTCTGTCAGCACCCACAAGCTCAAGAGCAGGATGTGCTCAGACATGCCAGGGTGGGCCTGGGCAGCGATGGTGTCACTGTCTCCCTGCCTCACCCTTCAGTGGAGCCTCAGCTTGTCATGCACCAGGGCCCTGCAAAGCTACAGTGCCTGTGTGCCCCCAGAGCCGCATTAAGGACTTCAACCAGCAGAAGTGACAAAAGCCAGACAGGGTCAGCTCGGGTAGAGAAACCAGGCAGACCAGTTTAACTTTCTATTTCAACTTGACTTCGCTTTATGAGGTCTGGGCACTGGTTGAAGTGGATGGAGGCCACCCGGCGTACCATCACCGGAGAAGAAAACCAGAGCTAAGCTCTGTGGGAACTCATTTCCATGTGGTTACAGTGATAAGTGATCTTTGAACAGCAACACACCAGAGGACAACCTCCACAATCACTACGAACCACAATCAAAACCAACCTCCCATGTACCTCCCATCTGCCTGAGGAGAGGGAGGATTACGAGTTGAACCAGGGTTCAACTCAGGTCTACAAGCACATGGAGCAGAAGCTCTCACCCAGCCCCTCACTTCATCTTGGGAGGGCCCAGAAGAGAAGACCCCAGTGCAGCGATGCTGTACGGAGGCATGGCCAGGGAGCTCCTTGGGCAATGGCATGTCACAGGAACAAAGCCTCCCTCCTGCCTGTGGGGTGACACCATACCTCCACATGTTACACTGGCTCACACTTCAAGGCTGATGGTTTTTCTAAGCCCCCACAAAGCCTCTTTTCAAAGCAGATGAGACATCCCTATTTCCAGCTTTTAGAAGCCATACAGAGGGAGACCTGCCCCACATCCCCAATGGCACCACTTTCCCTTTCAGGGAGGGTCCCAGGCCACGTTCAGTCATGCAGCTCTCCAATCCCCTGGGGGGTGAGCACCCACATCTCCTACCTTCTGCTGCAGGGTGGGTGGCTGTGGGGCCAGCACCGGGTCAGTGATATAGGTCTTCTTAGTGCCTGGCGGCTGGTAGAGGCCAGGAGGAGCCTGGCCCATGGCATTACTAGCAGGATACGCTGGCTCAGCCTTCCAGGAGCTCTGTGGCAGATAGGGCGCTTCGGAGCCGTTCCTTCCTCCGTACCCCCCATAGTAGGGGTCCTGGTAGCGGCCCTGCGGAGGTGCGTATCCATAGGCGGGTTCCGCAGGCCGGGTGGGCGGTGGAGCGTAGCCGTAGTCGGGCCCGTGGGGTTGAGGCGCTCCATACTGCGGGGCAGCGGGCTGGCGGGATGGCGGGGCTGCGTAGGGCTGGCCGTGCCCGAGGCTGCCATAGTGCGTGGGCTGCGGGCCGGGCGGCTGGTAGTGTGGGCTGGGCTGTGCCGTCCTCACCTGGACGTTGAAGGCCGGGCGGCTGGGTGTGGAGGCCGTGGCGTAGGAGGCCGGCACTGGCTGCGGCTTCAGGGTGCCCACGGGAGTGACCGGGATGGGCGCCGGTTGCCCCGGGCCCTTGGCCGTGGACTTTTTGGTGGCGGTCAGCGGAGGCTGGTTGGGGATGATCATCCGCTTGTGGCCAGTAACAGGGGTGGACACAGATGGGGTGGTGGCGGCGGAGCTGCTCGAGGTCCCAGAGACCTGGGGAGCAAGGAAAGAGAGACACAGCGTCAGCAGGAGGGGCCTCTCAGGCGCCAGATCAAGCAGCGAGGGGTTAGGTTGGAAAGAGGGATTTACAGTAACATCTGTGCAGCAACTCAAACTGCTTAGGAAAGCAGGAATGTAACTGAGACCATGCATTATAAAATGGTAATAGCAACCTTCCCTTGCTCTGACAGAACAGGGACAGCACCACGGCAGTCGAGCAGAATTGCCGTGCGTGGCATTTCATCTCTCCTTGGAGTTTTCTCCTCTGCCTCCAAACAAACAAACAAACAAAGTAAAAGATAATATATGAAAAAAAAAAGGGGAGACTCATTGGAAAATAATCAGGGGAAACCCCAGGCATTTCTGTGAAAATGAGAGTGTTTTGAAAAAGAGAGAAAATGAGATTATAGTCTCTATGGAGACATGAAATTCCTTGGGTCCCTAGAGGACCTGTAGGGTTCTGCCCCAATACAGGAGCACCTTTAACTGTGCAGAAGGCGGCAGGGTGGGATGGCCTAAAAGTAGGTCCCAAACTGTAAGAATCAACTTAAATCAAAGCAGAACACGGAGGTGTCCCTAACCTGGATGTGCTGGTTGAAAACCTGGAGTGACCCTAGAGAAAGCAAATGTTACACATGGTTCATGAAAGGGCAGGAAGGTGGGTAGGATTCCCAAGAGCTTCAGAAGTCAGCTCCCACCATGGCAGTCATGTAACCCTGCACCCGTGCCCCAGGCACAGCTGGGGCAGCCAGGGAAGAGGATCACAGTAAATGCTGCTGTTACCTGCAATTTGGCCACGGAATGAAGCTTTGGTGCAGTGACGCTGACCTCATAGGTATTGTACATCCTTCAGTCTAATGTACTTGTTTGTTTGGTTTACCTTGCATTTAAATGTTCAAAAACATCGGTGTGAAAATGCATCTTTGTTAAAAAACTAATAAAGTGAAACAGTTTCTGAAGAACATTGAAGAACTTTAAGTTTTTTCACTAAATCAAAGAAGAGGAAACTTTAACTTCTGGAGTTTAGGATTAGGTAAAATTTCTTGTCTCTTTATTTTCCTTTATTCTGAAAGAGTATCTGAATTTTATGCATTCCTGTACAGAGATGGATTAAAGTGAAGACATGCAATTTGACTGCACCTAACACTATAATTATACAAGGTTATATCCCATCCAAACTTCCTGCACCAGGCTTGATCTCATCCATGATCTGCTTGAAAACCTACAAGTTCACAGCAGCCCAAAGTCAGACCAGCTCAGCTCTCACCCATGGTTATGTTCACTCTAAGGCATGTGCCACCTTCCTCTAAATGACCAATGTCATATTTGTCCTCAGTGTTCCTTCTTTATGCTGGCACCCTGACCTCTACCTACTGCCCCATCACCCTCTTGCCAGGGAGAGCGGGGTGGGGGCTCTTCTGGACACCTTACACACGGGCTGTACCCGGCCCAGAGAAATCCTCTGCCTGGTCAGCAGGTGGCGACAGTCAATTGCTGCCAAACCACCCAGGGCAGTGGCTGGAGAGGAACTTGAACCACCCATGGCCCTGAGCCTCCAAGGGTTCCAAACTCATCTTCCATAGAAGGTGGGAGAAAGCAGGACACTGCCCCTCAAACATTTGGCAACCACCTCACATAAAGAAAAGGGAGATAAGCGCAAGCCACTCAACTTCTAGTCCACAGACCACAAGCAAGCCTACCAAAGGGATAAGGAAGCTCTACCACCCAACTGGTAGCTCTTTCCTGGTGATGTGCAAATATTTTTTTGCTGATGCACTGGTAAAGACCTTATTCCTGCAAAGACCTTATACCTGCAGGGCAAACCTCCCCTGACAGCAAACCTCCCACGAGGAAACACTATAAATCATCAAGAGAACCCAAGCAAATAAGAGCACCAATCTGTTCTAAGAGATGTAAAAGGTGTGTATGAAGAGCTGGGGAATAATAAGGCAGAAAATTTCTGCTAGAGAAAAAACATCTAAATGTATTCACACCCTGACCTTGCTAACACATCCATGACAAGCAGCACATGGACAGACTGAAGAGATTTTGAAACTGAGAGCAAGGAAGAGCTGAAGAGTATCTCAGTCGAACTGCAAGGGCAGAGACAGGTTAAGGGTCTGCAGCCTATCATTAATACTGCTCTATTCTTCTAATTCTGAAACACCTGAAGATGAGCAGGCATTTCTCCATCCCTGCATCAGAGCAGAACTACACCAGTACTCATTGCTAGCAAGAAAACTTGTTTTCTGTCAGAATTGTTCTCCCATGTCAGGTTGGCATTTATGCCTGGGAGTGTCAGAAACTTTCCCATTTCCTCGCCTATTTCATTCTTGCAAATGACAGTAGTTTGTCCACTTACTGTAATGGGATGAAAGGTCTACAACACGGCACTGTGTAATTACCACCAGAAAAGCATTTTTCTTTTCCATGTGAAGAGGGAGAAGGTAGATGTTATAAAGACAATGGCCTACCAGAGAGAGAGGGAAAGACCAAACCAAAACAACATAAATGAACCCTATTCATCACATTATATATTTCTGAATGCAGACTCCGGAAGCAGGTGATGACAGATCTCAACTAAAGCTCTCGTGATGAAAGTCTATCCTATCCCAAGAACTGGGGGACTTCAATCTTACATATAAACATCCACATAACATTTCACTTAATGTGCTGATGCCAGTGTCCTGCCTGGACTGGAATATACCCTAAGAATGAATGATAAACTCTCCAAAAAAACCCCAAACCTCCAGTCTACTGACTGGCACTGAGCAGCTCCTGTGTTTGATGCTACAAAGAGGATGAGCTGGGAGTGTCCCCTCCTGCACCAGGACCCAGTGAAGGAAAGTGCCAAGTTGAGGGTGCCTGGGCCAGAGGCCAAGCTTTGCCATCAACTTCACAGTGAAGGCTTGAGCTAACAACTACCAGCTGCACTGTGGCATCAAACCACAGGCTGCCTTGAGGAGGAGGAAGTTTGCATCAGTAGGAGTCCCCAGAGGCACCCTATGTGACTCATTCTGAATTCCTCTGAGGGCTCTGGGCAAGCGTGTGATAAAAGCTGGGTTTTAGGGGGGGAGGTGTAAGGCTAGCTGATGTGATGTAGTAGAGAAATGGGACAGGTTAGAGGGAGTTTACCACTACTGGAGCACTGATGATTTAGAGGGACACAAAGTGGCTGTAGCTCTTAAGCAAGGGCACAGGTGAGGTATCATCATAAATCCTCTGCCCTTTTACCTGGGAGAAAGAAGGGTGGCCACAGTCCAACCGTGCACTCAAATATCACCTCAGGCTTAAACCTCTAGATTACTAATGGATTAAGAAAAAACTTTTTAAATGCACATGAACTATGGGCAAGATTCCTGCTCTGAGGACAGGAATGTGTGGAAGGATGAGAAAAGGGTACACAGATACCACTGGGAAGAGAGATTTCAACAGATGTCTGCAAGGCATTAGGAGGATAGGAGGGATGGATGAAGCTAAAAGGATGCCAGGTAGATGGAGTAATGAACAGAAAGCTGGTAAGGCCTATCTACATCACTGGGTACAGTCCTAGCAAAACAGATGACAATCACAAATGTTTCATCCAAGTGAATCCATAGAACTTCTACCAGCACAACAAAGTAGACTCATCCAAAAGCACATTAAAGTGATAGCCCAGAGTCATGAAAACAAATAGAAATAGGAAAAAGAAAACAGAGAAGGGCAAAGGGAGGATTCATAGGAGTACAGGTATCCCTTTCTTCAGCAGCTCCTGGACAGCTCATTTCAAAACCACATTGCATTTGCATGTGACTATCGCAGCCAAACATGCTCTCTGACATCCTCTAAGGGCTGTTTTCAGAGGAAGACAGGCTTTCCTCTGCTCACCATGCCCTGATGAAACTGTCTGACACACTTCGCAAGTGCAAATTAGAACCACGCTACTTACCATCAACCCCTTCTTGCAAATTCATATTTGCAAAGAGAGTAAACTAGAAACCCCAGGTGTTGATAACACAGAGTTGTTAAGAGAAACTAGAGTAGGAAGGAGTTAAATTCAGAACCTCATCTACCACAAGCATTATAATACAAAATCTTTTTTTTAATGGGAAAGCACAAGAGCCTTGCTTAAACACAGATGGAAGTACCTAAATGTACTGCCTCTTCTACAAATGAATTATCCAGCAGTTCAAATAAAGGTGAACTAATACTGACAAAATCAAGTAAAACTCAATCAATGTGGGAGGAAAAAACCCCCAAAACGCTTCAACTAAAAAATGTTAGCACGTATAACCATGAGGGGAAAAATTTTGCTTGGCAACTCCTGCTCTGTCTTCTTAAATGTGGATAAAGTTTATAAGCATTTGCAGGAGTTTCTTGTACCAACCACCATAGGAGAAGTCTATGGTGTTGTGATAAAACCGTGCTGTCCAAGGGGTCTGACTGTCAAAGCTGGGTGTCTGGATTCAAAGTTACCTTGGTGGGGAAACCTGAAATCCTGAGTATCAGTGACTTTTCATTCTGTAGAAATTATTTACAGAGATCTTAAATTAAATTCAATGTATATCTACAACTAAAAAGTCATCACATAGGTACTAGGGATAAAACCTGTTGTTCTACAGAAATTAATCTATCATTCTATACCATTTGTTGGGCTTAAACCTTAAAAAGAGTAGAGAATAACCACAGTCTACAGCAGAAGCATGATTCTATATGATCAGCTGGAAGCCTTATGAAAAGGACTTGATCGTCCTTTTATTTTGTGCATTTGTAGCGTAACTTTTATAGAATCCCTTCAGTTACTCAAGTTTCACAGACTGGATCAAAAATGCCAACACAAAGTTTATCATATTCTATTCAATTCTCCAGGCATTTTTCATTAAGGTACAGTTGAATAACTTTAGCCCTTTAGCTGTCAAATTATCAGATATAAAGATACATTACTCTAGCTCAGTGGTTTTCAACCTTTATGCTCAGCAGCCCCCAAACATTTGTTTTTCAGAAGACACAAGCTC